CTGGGGTCGACCCTGTAGGGGAGGGGGCTCTCTAGGGGGGGTCTGGGGTCGACCCTGTAGGGGAGGGGGCTCTGTAGGGGGGGCCCGGGGCATGGCCGGGCCCTGCAGGGGACGGGGCTCAGTGGGGGTCTGGGGGCGAACGCCATGGACAAAGCCCTATAGACAGCGGGGCTCTGTAGGGGACACGGGGCCCCGCTGAGGATGGGCCTTGGGGGAGCCGGGGGGGGGGCAGGCTGTGGGGGGACAAGGGCCACCAGTGCTGGAGCTGCCCGTGCCCACAGGTTGCCCAGCAGCGGAGCCGTGAGGATGAGGGGCTGGATCCCACCCGCGCTCTGCCTGGCCGCGGCCCTGGCTGTGCTGCTCCCCACTGCCTGCGCCCGCCGGAGCCAGGACCTGCACTGCGGAGGTGCGGCGGGACGGGATGAGATGGGGTGGTGGTTGGCACCCATTTGTCCTGCAGCCATTGCCACCCACCTGTGCTCACCCTGCTCGGGGACAGGCAGACATTCCTGAAGGGCCACAGGGCACCATGGGGACCCGCTCCCCACAGTCCTGCCGGCAGCACCAGTTACTCCTGGCAGCTTTGGGCAGCCGCAGGCCTGTTAGTGCCAGGGCCTGAGGTGTGGGCTCAGGCAATGCCATTAGCTCTGGGCCGTTGACGCCTGTGTCCCCCACAGCGTGCCGGGCACTGGTGGATGAGCTGGAGTGGGAGATCGCCCAGGTTGACCCCAGGAAAACCATCCAGATGGGCTCCTTCCGGATCAACCCCGACGGCAGCCAGTCAGTCGTGGAGGTGAGACGTCTCCCAGTGGGCACCTACTTGCCTGCGGCACCAGGAGGTTGGGTGGAGGCTGCGGCAGAGCGGGGCTGGCCTGACCAGGGCGAGCAGCTGCGTGTTGAAGACTGGGGGAGTTGAGGGAGGGATCATACCCATGTTGGGTGCTCTGCATGGGCTGGCTGAGCCCTATCTCCCATTCCTCAGCTTCCTCCACTGCCTATCACCAGCGCAGCCCCGCGGCTTTCCCAGGGCATCCATGGAGATGTCTGAACCTTTCTCTGTGCTCCTGGGAAAAGGCGCTGGTCCGGTGTTCCTGTTCCGCTGTCACACTCAAAGGCCTGACGCTGCTGATCTCGTGCTGCAGGTGCCCTATGCCAGGTCAGAGGCACATCTGACGGAGCTGCTGGAGCGGGTGTGTGAGAAGATGAAGGAATACGGAGAAAAAGTGGATCCATCCACACACCGGAAGAGTTATGTCCGGGTGATCTCCCACGACGGGACCAAGATGGACCTCTCCGGGGTCAAAATCGATGGAGACGTGGCTTCTAGCCTGAAATTTGCGGTGCGCGCAGAGACCAGGCCCTTGTGGCAGCTCTTGGGGCTTGGCGGAGGTTTTGGGTAGCGGCACCCGCTGTGTTGGGCAGCTGCGGCCCTTCTAGGGATGAGCTGGTCCTACCAGCAGCTGCCGTCCCCTTCCCTGGTCCTTCCTGGGGCTGGAGGGAAGAAGGCTGCTCCTGGGCTGGGGTGGGTGGGCGCAGGCCCGGCTCTGGGCTCCCCCCGGTGCTGTTGGCGTCGCCTGGCCCTGCGTGGTTGCCGTCTGATCCGTGGGTGGCTCCTGTTGCAGTGTGAGAGCATCGCCGAGGAGTATGAGGACGAACTCATCGAATTCCTTTCCCATGAGGCCGACAATGTCAAGGACCGGCTTTGCAGCAAGCGGACGGGTGAGCCGGGCTGGGCTTTCCCGGGGAGGGGTCTCTCCTGATGCCCAGGGGTTCATAGCTGCTCTGTCAGTGCTGAGACAGCAGGAGCTGCCAGCCCAGAGCAGGGAGAACACAGAGGAGCTGCGAGTCATCCCTGAAATCCTGACATCCCTTCATCCCGCAGAGCAGCCCCTCTCTGGCAGTCCGGTGCTGGGGTGTGCCTCCTCGCTGCCTGCGCTGCCAGCCCAGCGCCTGGATCCTGCTGCCCGCTGGAGCTGCCTGCAGATTTTTTTGGATGCTCTGCCCAGCCAGGCGTGTGCTGCCTGGGGCCGAGCCAGGGCAGATGCCGCGCCGGCTCCATTGGCCGCACCAGCACGGGGCTTCTCGTGCAGCCAATGGCTGGGCTAATCTCCCTTCCCGCAGGGCTATTTCCAGCTTGCAAATGCCGGGGTCAGGGCACGCCGCGACCTTTGTGCTTCCCTATTAATGAACGTGGCCCGCGTTCATTACCTGTACTGCAGGGCTGGGCCAGGGTGGGTCCCTTCTGTACCTGGCACACGCGTTGGGGGAAATGCTCCTTCCCCAGGGGGGTCCCGGGGGTCTCACGGTACTGCCAACTGCTCCTGTGTCTCAGCCTGTCCCCAGCCAGGCACCTGCTGCCTGCACCCTGCCTGCCCAGGGCTGATGCGGCTCTGCCGGCCAGTTGCGGGTGCTGGACCCAGGGAGAGGCCGGGCTGGCAGCTCTGTCCAAACAGCCGCGTTTCTCATTAACCACAGAACAAAGCGAAGGGGAAGCGCAGGTGTCCCTCAGCATGGGTCATGGCTCCAGCCAGCCCCAGCGCTCCGCGCATGGCTTGTTCCCACGCTGCGGGCAGGTGGTGGCCGGGGACGAGTGGGAAGGGATGCGTCACTGGGGAGGGGTCCCAGGGGGCTCTGCCGCATCCTGAGAGCAGCACCCTTTGTCACCGCAGACCTGTGCGACCACGCACTCCACATCCCACATGACGAGCTGTGACGCAGACGGTCCCGGTGGCCTCGCGGGACCAGGACAGCACCGGGCTCTCTCTGGCCGTCCCCTACCTCTTGGTTCACCTCGTCCCCACTGACCCTGCTGGGATGGGCAGACGTGCCGGGGAAGACCGTGGCTCCGGAGCCGGCACAGACGCTGCCTCACCCCCACTGGTGCTCTCATCCTATTTATTCACTGTCCGTCCGCTGCAGCCACGGTGCCAGGGGCACCAGCACGCCGGCTCTGCTCCCTGACGGGGCAGCCACGGGGGCCGGGGCCACATCCTCGCTCCTGCTGGGACGTTCCTGCGGGCACACTGCCAGCCCGGGTTCTTCCTCAGCCGCTGCCGGGGGACACAGCGGGGGATACCGGGGCTCAGCCACCCGCACCGGGGGAGGGGGGTGGTTGGGTGTCCGGGGCCGGTTTTGGGAACCCCTGTCCCTGCTGCAGGCAATAAAGGGGCTGTGCAGCAGCTGTGCCGCGGGCCCACCCGAGGGCAGGTCTCACTCCTGTGCACATGGGGAAGGGGTGGCGTGGGACCCCGGGCAGGGCTGGAGACGCTGGTGTCTCCCGTGTGTCCCCCGTGTGTCCCTGGCGACTCGCGCTCCCTCGTGCTCGGCGTCCATCTGCCGTGGCACGTTCCCCCCCCGGCAGCCGCCGATGGGCCCGCATCTCCCGGTCCCGGCAGACCTGTCGCCGCGGGGGGCACCGGGGGGGGTCCCGTCCCCCCCGGGCGTCGCCCAACCCGGGCCACCGCCCGTCCCTGGTGCCGCCGCCCCCGGGGCCAGCGGGGCAATGCCCCGGGGTCAGCGGGGACGGTCACCCGCGGCCGAGCCCCGCCCCCTGTGCCGGGGCCCTGACGTCACCGCGGAGCCGGGGCAATGTCACAGGGCGACCTCGAGCCCCGGCGGCTGAGTGCGGGATGACGTCACGGGCCCCGGTGACCTCATAGCACGTGGCCGGGTGCCTGGTGGCGTCACGGGGCTGCCAGGCAGCGCAGCCGAGCAACACCGAACCACCGACGCGCCTGGAGGGGGGTGACGCCGCGGCGTGACGTCACGCGCGGCGGACGGTGACGTCACGAGAAGGGGCGGGGCGCCGCCTCACCCCACCCCAGGCCCGGATCAGGCGAACGCCTCGGCCACCTATAGCCCGGGCCCCCCGTTCCCGCCGCTTCATTTGCCTATTCCCGCCCCGCGGCGCGGGGCGCGCCCAACGGCGAGCGGCTCGGCCCCGAGGGGGCGGGCGGGGGCGGGGCTATGCTAATAATCAGCGCGGTGCCGCGCCCCGCCCC